CACACCCCACAGCAAAACGGGGTGGCCGAGCGCAAGAACAGGACGCTTGTCGAAACTGCCCGTTGCCTACTCGCCAAATCAGGCCTTCCTACATCATTCTGGGGCGAGGCAATTAATACAGCAAATTATATAAGAAACCGCTGCATCAGCAAGGGCTTGAATAATCGCACGCCTCACGAGCTGTGGACAGGCGAGAAGCCCGACGTCAGTCATCTTCGCACCTTCGGATGCAAGGTATTATTCCTCGACAAAAATCCCAACAAAGGGAAGTTCGAACCTAGAGGCATCGAGGGCATCTTCGTCGGCTACACGGATCACCCGGGAAGCTATCGCGTCTGGGTACCGAAGGACCGCAAGGTAATCATCACCAGGGATATCAAGTTCCTCGACGAATTCATCACCGATGACCAAAAGGAAAACGTCACGTGGGACAGCGCCACCGACGGAGAGGATGGGCGATCTGACGACGATGTTGATCCCGTCCAAAATTCGACAACTACGATCGGAAATAATGAGACGATCGGATTAGATGACGAACCGGCTGAAGAAACCATCAACGTTACTGCCGAGTCGCGCGACCTTGATGGCAACCTGCCGGCCACACGCGGACCCGGACGACCGAAAAAGATATACACCGGAAAGCCCGGACGTCCATCGAAGCAATACCAAATCAAGGGACCGGCTCATCGAAGCGACGCAGCCCAATCCACCGCAGAACCTCCGATACAGGGAGGAGGAGCATCCGACGACGATCACGACTGGTTCGACGCACAAATTGCTATGTCAGCACTTGAAATATCATTCTCTCGAGCTGTTACAGGTCCTGACGGAGACGAGTGGCTTGATGCAATCTACGACGAGACGAAATCGCTAATCGGAAACGATACGTGGACGCTCGTGGACAGACCACCAAAAGGTCGAGTGATTGGATGCCGCACAGTCCTAACAAACACAAACCTAACGGGGAACTGGAACGAAGAAAGGCACGCCTGGTGGCCCGAGGATTCGCACAACGCCCGGGTCTGGACTTCCAGGATACTTTCGCCCCGGTCGCAAGGCTGAGCTCCTTGTGAACGCTGATGGCCATCGCCGTCGAACGAGACATGCACATCGCGCAAATCGACGTGACCACGGCGTACCTAAACGGAGTCATGGATACCGACGTTTACATGGAGAAGCCTGAAATGCTCACACAAATGATCAAAAGGATCATCTCAGTTGAGAGCGACAGCATTCTGATCGGAAAAGCAAAGCGGATGCTGCGCCAACTTAATGAGGGAGACAAAGTGTGCAAGCTTAATAAATCTTTATACGGATTACGTCAATCCGGACGACTATGGCACACGAAGCTCACTTCGACGTTGAAAGGATTCGGCCTGATACCAACAGCCGCCGATCCGTGCGTATATCATGACAAAGACAATAACATTCTCCTATTGATATATGTAGACGATATTCTGATCACCTCGCGCGATACACACGCAATCCAAGAGCTAAAGAAGAAACTGAGCGACGCTTTCATGATCAAGGATCTGGGAGACGTGAAGTACTGCTTGGGCATCGAAGTGACACGCGACAGGGAGGGCATTCATCTCTCCCAAGCCAGCTACATTCGCGATGTATTAAACAAATTCAAGATGAGCGATTGTAAGCCCGTGCGAACTCCCATGGAGACAGGCATCAAACTTCACAGCGTCCAGGACGACACAGCCACAAACGACCCCGAAATTCCATACAAGGAACTCGTAGGATCCCTGATGTACATCGCGCAAGGTACTCGTCCAGACATCGCTTACGCAGTGAGCGCCTTGAGCCAGTTCAATTCGTGCTACACAATGGCCCACTGGTCATGCGCTAAGAGAGTACTTAGATACCTAAAAGGAACTCTCGACCACGGCCTGACGTTCACAAAAAGCGGCAAGAACCTTACCGGATACGTTGACGCCGATTGGGGAAATTGCAGCCTGGATCGTCGATCATATACCGGAACCGCCTTTCTATTAGCCAACGCGGCCATATCCTGGGAGGCGAAGAAACAAAGAACAGTGGCCCTCTCATCAACGGAGGCGGAGTACACCGCTCTTAGCGAGGCCGCACGAGAGGCCATCTACTTATCTGGATTCCTGAAGGAAGTGGGTATGACTTCTTTCGCGAAGGTATTACTCCACAACGACAATCAGAGCGCAGGAAAGCTTGCCGTCAATCCAGTATATCACTCGCGCTCGAAGCACATAGACATTAAATGTCATTTCATTAGGCAAGCCTTCACGGAGCATGAAATCGAACTCACGTATACGCCAACGGAGGAAATGAGAGCCGACGTGTTGACAAAGGCTTTACCAAGTGCTAAACATCACTTCTGCGTCGACGGGATCGGAATAAAGGTCATCGACATCTCGCGTATTCGAATTTGAGGGAGGGTGTTGGTACTACTATAAATTCCCCACCGCTCGAATATAAATCTCTAAATTGTGAGATCGAAATCGATGCAATCGATTTCGATGCCTCGGGTTCCCCTCGACTCCACATGCGACGCTCGCGCATGCTCGCCCCCTCTCTTCACCAGTTCTTCTTCACTTTCGTTCATGTCGCTTGTACGGACGCGCGCTAACGTAGCTATCTCTGTAATAACGTGTTCACAAATAAAGTGTTGTTATACTGAATATCCTTATCATTATTAGAGACATCCGAATTGCGTTCCACACTGCGTACTGTCCAACAGTAACTAATATTGTGAGGATTATACATTATTACCATGAAAAATGACTCATATACTATTGAAAGTGCCAGTTCAAAGTAAACATACATAAAATGTATATTCTTTTATTGCATATATACGAAATAATAATGATTTAACATTATTATTATAAACATCTAGTGTGCATGTGTTGTTAGATCATTATTACGTATATATGCAACAAAAGGATATACATTTTATGAATGTTCACTTTGAACTGGCACCTTCAATAATATATCAGTTTGTTTTCTAACGTCATAATTGTCGGTTGCATCATATTACCTTCAGAATTTAATGTACTTTTA